TGCAATTTGGTCTGTGCACGACCGATCCTTACGGAATCCAGCTTGTTGATCTCGAAGTTGGGCGTCTACTGCATCCTTCATCCGGTTCAGCAACAATCTGTTGAAGACTTTCCCTGGTATTGACAGTAGTGTTATGCCTCTGTAGTTTTCACATTTGCTCAGATCTCCTTTCTTTGGAATCTTGACGAGGTGTCCTTCTTTCCAGTCCATCGGCACTTGTTCCTCCTCCCAAATCTTTTTGAATAGAAGATAAAGCATGCTTGTGGTTGCTTCGATGTCTGATTTCAGTGCTTCAGCTGGTATGTTGTCGGGTCCCGCTGCTTTCCCGTTCTTGATTTGTCTGACGGCCATTCTAATTTCTTCCGTAGTTGGTGGATTGACATCTATAGGAAGATCTATGTGTGCTGCTTCGATGTCCGGTGGATTCATTGGAGCCGGCCTATTCAGGAGTTCTCGAAGTATTCTACCCATCTGTTACGCTGTTGTTGAATTTCGGTGATTGGCTTGCCTTCTTTGTCTTTGACCGGCCTCTCTGGTTTACTGTATTTCCCTGATAGTTTCTTCGTTGTATCGTAAAGCTGTTTCATATTTCCTTCTCTAGCAGCTTTTTCTGCCGTCGTTGCTAGTTCTTCCACGTATTTCTTCTTGTCGGCTCTAATGCTCCTCTTCACTTGTTTGTTTGCTTCTATGTATTCAGCTTGTGCTTGGACTTTCTCTGCTCGTGTTCGGCTGTTGTTTATTGCTGCCTTCTTGTTCTTCCTTTCTTTGATCTTGTCCATGTTTCTGTAGAGATCCATTCCTTATGATGGTATTTCTTTAGACCGAGAACCTCTTGACACGTTGAAGTTAATGCTTCCTTGATGCCTTTCCAGTTGTCCTCCATAGTAGTTTCTTCTTCTTTCAGTAGATCTTGTAAGGCTTGGAACCTGTTGTTGAGAGCTATCTTGAATTCATTGAGTTTGACAGTATCTCGAAGGAAGGCTGTATTGAACCTTTGTATTGCTGTTTGTCCACTTGTCCAGTTCTTTTTTAGCTTCAGTTTCAAATTGGCTACAACTAGGTGGTGATCTGAAGCTACGTCAGCACCTCTCCTGGTTCTCACATCTTCCATTGTCCTTCGGAATTTTTTGTTGATGCAAATATGATCTATTTGGTTCTCTGTAGTGTGGTCCGGTGAGATCCATGTAGCCTTGTGTATACGCTTGTGTGGAAATATTGTGCCTCCTATGACCAATTTGTTGAATGCACATAGATTTGCAAATCTTTCTCCATTTTCGTTTCTTTCTCCCAGTCCATGTCGTCCCATAATATCTTCATATCCAGTGTTGTCTATTCCGACTTTGGCATTTAGATCTCCCATTAGAATGGTGAGGTCCTTTCTTGGGCATTTCTCTATCACTGACTGCAGCCGCTCGTAGAACTGATCTTTAATTCGTCGTTGCTATCATTGGTGGGTGCATAACATTGGATAATATTCATTAAGATCCCCTCCTTCTTTGTTTTGAATGATGCTTTGATGATTCTGGATCCGTGAGATTCCCATCCTACAAGTGCATTTCGTGCTACTTTGGACAGCATAAGAGCGACTCCCTGAGTGTGTGGAGCATTGTCCTCTTCGTGACCGGAGTATAGCAGCATCTCTCCCGTAGCTAGCCTTTTCTGTCCAGCTTGGGTCCAGTGGGTTTCGCTGATTCCCAGTACTGCTAAGTTGTATCTCCTCATTTCCATTGATATTTGACTGGTCTTCCCGGTTTCCCACATTGTTCGAACGTTCCATGTACCTATAAAAATTTTTGCTCTGGTTGTTAGAAGGGGCATCGGCCTCGTGGCTTCCGAAGGAACTCGGCTTTCACCATGAAGCGTCATAATTCTTCTAAATGAAGACCTTCTAACTCCCAGGGCAGAGTTAAAATGGTTTGGATTATTTTTTCTGGTAAGCGTTTTTTTAGCGAGTTAGTTTTCTACGGGATGGGGACGCTAACCCCATGCCCAACCCTCCTCCTTTACCCGGGCTTGGGACCGGCAGCAACCCTATAAGAGCTACAGGCGGAGTTCATAAACAATTACTATTTCAATAATAGTAGTGTATAGATTGATGCGTTTATATACGTTAAATAAGTTTTCTGTTTTATAGACAGAATGATCTTTAGATAATAAATATTTTACTATGTGAACGATATGATAATACATAAAATAAATTATCTGAAGTTGCAATTTTTGAACAGAGTGTTTTAATCATGAAGCTTATATTCTTCTAGGACAACATCGTCAACACAAACTTCAGATGGAAGTAATTTATTAGAATTTATCTACATACGACCAACAACTTGTTCTGTCGACCTTGATTTCGAAGAACTGTTATTGAACCTTTTCTCAACAACTCGTATTCAATGCTTGTCTATAACACTAATTCATAGTCAACCTGTCTCCGATTACTGTATAATTGTCTCTTGAGAGAGTTTCTGCGAAAAATGCATGACTAGACTTTTACGATAGAAAAACAAATAAAATTTCTTATTGAATTGTTGATTACAAGTATAAGTACGAGAAAGTTTTCAATTGATAACAACTTCTTTCAGATAAATATCAACATTTAAAGTTACTGGTCATGAGGTACGGTCTGTTCAACATGAATGGGAATGACACGTTTTCATTGATAAAAAATTATAATTTATGCGAGTATTTTTGTCGATGTCATCGCAAAGATATTTTCTGTGACCGATCATTGAGTAGTTGCCAACGTCATATTGAAACATTATATACGCGATTTCGCGCAACTTCAAGCAGTGGCCTCATTACGAGATGGCTCTTAATGAGAATGATTCTATTGAAGAACGTTTATCGATATCCAAGTAAATAGAATGCCCGTCAATCGATAGAATGTAATGACACGATATGACTGAATAGCCACTGTTAAAAACTCGAAATAATTAACCGAAACACTTGAACGGACCATAAATAAAAATAGGTTTTTCTTCACTAACTAATGAACTAAGACGTGTCTGTAGGATTTATTACTTATCTAGAATATCGTTCATAGAATCCAAACGACTAGACAAACATAACATGTCACCACTCAGTGATCAGTGAATACAAATATCTCAGTCCTAGAGGATACCACGCTCAGTCCTAATAGATTAGACGCAACTTATCAGACTGCAGAACTGGATGACACAGTTTCGAATCCTATAGGGAGCATCGTTTTGTTACTGGTTGGAAGTGCATCTTACTGATGAGTACCGCTTAACATGAAACTTATGTCCAACATTTGATGTGAATTATTCTCATTCAATTGATTGCTTGTCATTTCAAATTAGTTTGTGATTTGAATAACAGAGTATCATACCACGAATTTAGTGAGTCTGAAAATCAGCCATCTTACTTTGGGCATTCTGCAAAGGCATCTGATATTTCTAGTTCGATCATTTAATCAGAGGAAAGGGAATTATATTCAGCTACCATAAATGAGATGATATTCCGTAGTCATTAATGACCGTAAAATTTTATTCAGCCTCAACTGACCCATGAATTTAACCAGTTGTTATTTGGAAAACCATGATTTTCCAAAAAAGATATATACACCATTATGTTTCACCAGCTAATCTTTTTAGAGTGTTCATTGTTCACCATACGAAACCGATAGTTTATGAGTAAGGAAATTGTTATATTAATCTATGAGTTATAATCATAAAAGTACCAATGTTTGCAATTTATTACTTAGTAAATGATAGTCATTTAGAGCTAAACTCTATTTGGTTATTCTAGTCATAGTTGTCAACGTAAATATAGTCTATTATATTAATGAGCTTAGCTTATAAGAAAATCGTTAATTCTCGGTAGGATAATTCGACATCACTGATAACGAATTCCTTTGATTTAGATAATTAAATGTTTTAGTATCTAAGCTAAGGGCAAAAATATTTTGTTTTATACTACCCACACAACATACTTTAACAAAAATAGTTGAAGGTATATGATAAAATATTAGCATTTGATTAATTATTTCTAAAGCTCACAATGATCTTTTCATGTTTTTAAACTTCATGCACACCAATATATAATAAGAGTAATAAGCTTAAACCCAAAGGTGCATGGGTAAGGAATATTAACAGCCAATTTCACGAGTCGATCTAAGCTAGACTATCATTAAAAACCTAGGATACATATCCGTGAATTCGCCTAGCATCTGCTTCTCAATGATCAATATGTGTTCATTATCTAGCATTTCTACGTTCATTTACTGAGTGAATGCAGCATTTAAGTGCACAATGTTCACCGAAGATTTCATTTTAAGCTATAACCTTCACTTGCTTTTTTCATCCGACAAGTTCACATGTACTACAATGTTGTGTTCACAGGATACATATGTAGATGGCTTCAGATGAACAATATGAAGTCCTCAGTGAAAATTACACTTTTATATGTTGGACTGACACACTAAACGAACGGACAAAATGCGCGATATCTCACCTTTATTGGATATTGATAAAGGATAGTAACCTCATACCGATTCGCTGTTTTTTTTAAATATTCATATGACAAGATAACTGTATTTCAAAACCTAAATTTATTATCACATTATAATCAGTCTAGTACAAGAACAGTTTAAATAATTTGGTATCTGTGATGAAGGACAGAGTTGGTTGGAGAATGCTGGTCGGCGGCCTATGCTCCACTGGGAGTAACAAGAGTAAGTAAGTAAATAAGTAATGAATATTTGTTTAATGACAGACTATTACTATTATTTTTGCATTAACATCTGTTAAATAGTTATTTACAAATGCGAATATGAAATAAGTATTCGATAGACAGTTAGAATGATCCACAATGTCTGTACTAACTACTTACAAATATGGGTTGGCTAACTGTGATTCATATATTTGTGAATACAGAAAGAAACGTCTATGTCGTGTATAATGAAAGTAATTTATGTCTACCATTCGTGTCAATACAGAGAATTCTCAATCTCGAGACAAATGTCAACTATTTTATCAGTTACTCTAAAGAGGACCTTTTTCCGTCTTTCGTTTACCATATGATTGATTAATGGTAAATTTTTCTTCATACGTTGGTGTATGATGATAAATAATCTCATACAAATATGCAGATGAAACGACCAGTTTGATGTTTTGATCATTAATAAATAATTTTGTAAACTACATTTCACATTAGTTTAGATTGAAGATTAATACTTACCTGTTCAAAATGTTTGCAAACATCAGACAAAAGAACAACTAAGTAATATCCCATTTCACGGTTTACAATTTCATTCAAAGTTAGAGACGATACATTCAATAATATACGCGTATAATGACCTAAGGACTGAGATGCTCTCGACATAGAAAGTTGGTGTGAACTATGATAAAATTCTGTTATTGCGACAGCTATCTTCGGTGAATTGTCCATAGTTGTTCCAAGCATGATTTGAAACTTTAAAGAATTGCAAAAACTGAAACAGTAGGATAGGAGCTTCACTACAGTTTAGGGTAATAGAAATTCTTGCTGTCATTAGATTCATATCCACAGACAAATTTTAATAGAGAAATAAGTTTTCATCGTCGGTTTATCACGTTTAATCAAAATCAAGTACATCCAGAAGACTAATATCCAAATTACGTTGAACCACAGTTGAGAAGAAAAATTATTCATTGTCTTCATTCAGCTCCTTACATTTCATTTAACTAAATATATCAATCGCTTATCTGGAACACATTTCCCGTTTTTCGTGACTACATCCATAACCACCTCGCTAGTCCTCGTCAAGTTATTCTCTTTCCTCTCATATCGCTTTTAATACAATAATAACCAGTGACTTCATTTTTAATAACATTGATTTCATTGAACGAAAAGGGATCAGGTAAACTTCAAAATGAGATGAATAAACTTGTTTAATTTTAAGAATAAAAGAAAACTGCCGATTTGACAATGATCTTCCGAAATGCTAATGGACAATGCTCTTATCCCTAACATGGGAATCTGTGACACAGTACAAAGAGAGAAGAACAATAGGTGTGTGTCTTTGAGATCATATGGATTGATTGTAGTGCAAACATGAAGTTAATTTAATGTCGGTTGTTTATTCACTCTGAAGAAGTGTCTTACTCTATGTCACGAAATGTCAGAAATACAATTTTTCTACTCATTGAAATATAACAAAAAAATATAGTTAACTATCAAGTTCAGCCTTAGTATGAACACCTATAATTTCTCATCAGGTCCTACAATTATATATCCAAATTATTTATTCCAAAAATTGGTCAAGTTTAAGAAAATGTATATCATTTAAAATTATAACATACCAATTAAGGATTGTTTGTCATATCAAATCAAATCAAATCGTTAATGTTAGGTGATTGATATGAAGTTTTAACTCAAATCAGTTTATACATTAAATGATATTGTGATAGAGAAATGATCAGAATAAATATGGTTAACATGAGGTGAGTGAGAGAGGGAGAGAATAATGTAATTACAAATCAGAGATTACGTAATATGTCAGTCAGTCAGTCAGCTACAACGTAGGACCAGGCACATACGTGCATTGGTCCAAGTTGCCATACCTCATTAACACAAGATGAACACCAAATTCATAAAAGTATTTAATTCAGAGGTGGCAATATATAAAAGAAAGATTGCAATAAGGATATAGTACAGCAAGAAAGAATTAGTTCGTATAAAGAAAGATATGAAGCAATTTTAATCTCTTAGTTTAAGGGAAGACAGAGAGTGTATACATCTACGCCATGTTACCAAGAGTCTCCAACCTTTGGTTACGATAGTCAAGCGGACCCCAACCAAGTAGTCTGCATCTCCTAACATGGCTCAGACTAGAAGTTAGTGACTTCATTCACTGATGCTATATTATGGTTTGGTCGCCCCTAACTTCCTTCCAACCATCTCCAACACCGGTTAGCATTGCACGTCGTGGTAATCGGTGTTAAGGCATACGTAATATGTAGGATAATATGAATTAGGTACGAATTAGTAGATAGTGGTAGTTACTGAGTAAATTTCTCAAAAAGATGTGCAGGTAATGAACAAAATCGACTCTTGAATTCAACTAGAATTTTTTTAGAAAATGTCACTAATAACTAAGTGATTTAAATGCAACAATTAAATAACTAAACGGAATCCTAATTTCTAATTGTATAAACTAGAAAATATAGCAGTAGCTAAGTGACTAATTGAATATGTGAATGTGTATCTGAAAATCTAAGTTACTGGTGTAGTATATGAAACTATTCAGTCAAAATTGTACGACTGACTTACTTATCTGATGACAAATGATTATAATATCATAAAAAGGAAGGTCATATTATAAATAATATTCATCTAAGATGATAACAAATGATGGTAATGCTGTGACACATATTGGCTGAAATTTCAGTTGAAGGCTAATAGAAGTCTAAAGGTCATCAGTTCAATTCACTGAATTCATCTGTGTTGACTAACTAAGCATCACATACCAATGCAAAGCAGTCGATTTCTAATGGCTCTCTAGTTAACGGCATTTGATATGAAAGTAACATTTTCTATAGCTTATTAAATTCTACCACATTTGATTGATTTTACCCTACTACTGCTAAAATGTGGTTTGGTATTAGAGTATGCAAAAATTCAAGTTCAACTCTTACTTTACAATTACTATGGGAACAAAATATTTTTAGTCAGTTAAACAATCGTAGCAATTCTTACCTTGTTCCTACGAAACTGAATGAAGAATGTAACACAATTTTACCAAACCTCCAGTGGTTTTGGTATAAAATGAATATTTTAAGCATAACCAGTAGCAAAATATTGTCAATAATTGTTATGAATGTGTACGACTACTCCATAACATTTGTGAGGGAGAGTAGTGGAGGGGAACTATTTTCTGAGAAGAACATTTTCAAGGTAAGTGGGATAATCTTAATGACCTCTGTTAGTTTATAACATGAATTCAGGGAGACAGTTGTTTGCGATTATGTAGGACTGAATTAAAGCATGATCCATTTCACATATACAGAACGATTTAGCAAATGAACCTCAAACAAAAATTGGCTTACTTTTGGTGCTATCCACTAGTACAAGCATATAAACGTCACTCCAATACACACTTGACAATAGCGTACTGATATTTACAAACATATCGTTCCTACTTACAAACTGTAAAAAAATCCGTTCTGGAGTCTGATCAATGTTGTTTCACGAAAGCAAATTATGATTATGACGGAATATTGTCATTAATATAACAGACTACTTATAAGCAGTACAGAATCACAAAGCAAAATTATCTGATGTTTAACGGTATTTAGTCTGGTGACTTCAGAATACTTTTTCTTGATATATATATTATGTCATATTGTGGTGTTTGAACGAACTAATGATAATTTTGTACTTGCTGATTGCATGATTTCGAATTCCGAATACAGTACATTCGTTTCTGATTGTGCCTTCTTAATTCAATTGCGTTATTTCTTGGACTCGTGCTATAATTCAAATAGTTTGAAACATTATACATATGCATTCCTTTTACCAACAAAAACTTATCATTAAGCAAATCATAAACACATCCATAACATTTTTGCACCGTTCATTCTATCAGTTTAGAATAAAGTATATGTCACATTTTTTCATCATTGACCGTACGTACATACACACATACAAATTTACATACATGTCGCATATAAATCATCTTGACCTGAATGATTTGAAATTGACTTGTTCAGACCTGTTTTTGAATGATCGCACCTAATATTCTTGCTTTTTTTTTCCCTTTTTACTATTTAAACAAGAGGCAATTTCAATATGGTTATTTATTCTCTGAAGAAGTGACTTATACTGAGTTACAAAACGTCAGCAAATCTAATTATTCTACGCATTGGGATATTACATATTATTTTTATTTACATTAATTACATTTTCTAAAGTACAGATAACATAAACATTGTGTAGAAAAGAAATTTCCTACAATTTCTAAGAATAGTAAATATGAATAAAGCAAGTACAGTGAATATGGCAGAATAATGTAAATATCTATTTAATTCGTTAATTTTTTTCAGCTACTTACACCTTCAATACAATAGTCATCTTTTTACAACCAAGTTATGTACTTTATAACATATTATCAAAGATTGTGACAGTTGAAATTTCAGTTGATTTAAGCTAGATCACCATTGAAAACCTGGAAAAGCAATAAACGCCCACATCATCCCTGGACGACACCGCTCAGTATTACACACCCAATACCCTGCACGCGAAACTTGGATACAAAACCCACAGTCTCACGCGCGAACATCTAACCTCCAGATCACTGTGCCGGTGCCGTTGATATTATTTTCTAACTCCAATCAATCCATGATATCGCACGACGACTTTCTATTGGTTTTCGGTGGTTATCCATCTTTCATCCGACACATTTGTACTCCAATGGTCACGGCATCGCACTAGAACTCCAAGGATTACATCTTGAATCTAGTCAGTAGTTAGCAAATGATTGTTATCAGTATAGTGATTTGTAACGATTGCGATATTTTCACAGTCGAAATCATGAAACAAAAAGCAATAATAAATATGAAAGAATCTTAGAAATGTTTTAAGTGGTTACATATTTCTATATTAACTGATATGAAAATTACAGAAGAAAAACTCAAAACACATTGATACATTTTTTCAGAAAATGAAAATGAATTTCAAATTTGCCTGAGAAAACCAATAAAAAATAACAAAGTAAAAGAAGTAAAACTTACAAAATGACGCAAAAATGGAGACAACGGAATTTCTAATTTAGGGTATACGATAAGATCCAATGCAATTAAACAGCAAATCATAAGTTGATTGATAACTGAACACTGTAGTGATGTTAACGTTTAAAAATAAAACCGAAAGATCTGAAACTTAAAGTTTTGATCTTTGATGAATACGGTTGAGGATTGCCAAGTTTGAATGAAACAACTGTCAAAGTTATTCGCATTTTTCAGTGGTACCTTAATTGAACTAAATTTGAAATGATTACTTACTTACTTACGCCTGTTACTCACAATGAAGCATAGGCCGCCATTCAGCATTCTCCAACCCACTCTGTCCTACTCTGCCTTCCTTTCCAGATCTATCCAATTTTTGTTCATTTTCTGTGTATCTGTCTCCATTTTTCGTCGTAATGTGTTCTTTGATCTTCCTCTTCTCCTTTGGCCTTGAGGATTCCAAGTGAGAGTTTGACTTGTGACACAGTTCGGTGCTTTACTCAATGTGTGTCCCATCAACTTCCAGCACTTCTTCCTGGTTTCTTCCTCCACTGGAATATGGTTTGTTCTCTCCCACAGTATGTTGTTGCTAATAGTGTCTGGCCAACGGATGTGAAGTATTTTGTGTAGACAACTGTTGATAAACACCTGTATCTTCTGCATAATGGTTTTCGTATTTCTCAAGTTTCCACCCCATAC